TAAGGACATTTATTAGGAGGTGACCACCCCCCCTAAAAAAAAAATGCAAAAAAGCCTATATTGTAATAAGATAATTAATTTATGTTAAATTTAGGATGCACTACTCTGTTTCAGTTTATATACATATATCAAGGCGGCACAAACCTTTTCCCCAAAATGAAAATCTATCTGAAAGCTGCGGCCAAATACAATAATATATTAGGAGGTAACCACCCCCCCTAAAAAAAAAATGCAAAAAAGCCTATATTGTAATAAGATAATTAATTTATGTTAAATTTAGGATGCACTACTCTGTTTCAGTTTATATACAAATATCAAGGCTGCACAAACCTTTTCCCCAAAATGAAAATCTATCTGAGGGCTGCGGCCAAATACAATAATATAATTCATGAAATACAAATACTTCATAAGTACAGTCCTTTTATTTTAATGATTATCCTGCAGGAGTGTGACATGATTTGTTTGTGTACAAACTAATACAGTATCAGAGTTTTATATATTTATACTTCTCATTGAACCACAATTAAAATCACTCTATAGGAGGAACAATTTATATGGGTGGTATTTATTTTTACAATAAAAAGCTGGAATGAAAACAATCAAAAACGAAATAAAAGCAACGACTTTCTACTTTTTGCATTTTTCAAATGTAAGGAGTAGAAAGTACAGATAACTGTGAAAATGTAAGAAGTACAAGTAAAAAGTAGGCTGAAAAATAATTACTCAAGTAAAGTACAGATACCCAAAAAATAAACTTAAGTACAGTAACAAAGTATTTGTACTTAGTTACTTTACAACTCTGGCCAGAACTGGTTACCGCATAGCAGTAACATAATGACCCCCGCACACACAAATGCACCAGAACTCAGAAGTCTTTATTCCTAATAAATGTCATTCTAGCATCATAAAATTGTAGTGGTTTGGGTGGGGTTGGCTGATTGATGGGCCTGATGGATATAGAGCTTCATCAGAGCTAAACAACAAAAAAAATCTGAAGCTTCTTTGTTGAACAGTATCTGAGTGATAAGCATTTTTGCATGTCCAGACACCCTCTCTTTCAAAGGAGCCCCCTCCTCAAATATGGGGTCTTTCGTAAAACCGTTGGCTGGCGCAGTGTAGGTCAGACCCATCTACAGCCCTGTTAAATTTCATGTTGATTGGTGTGGCCGTTTTTGTGCTACGGTTGACCAAAAATCACTGGAAAAAAATCGCGTGCGGGGATCATAACAATATGACTCCCTCTGACACGTCGCGTGCGAGGGTCATAACAATATGACTCCCATTKWCGCTTCGCGTGCGGCGGTCATAATAACATTGTGACAGGTAACATGACTGACCAGATGTTTTGAAATGTTTTTTCTATGGAAAACTGAAGAACAATTACTCTCATACCTGACGTAAACAGCTTGTTAAAATGACTTGGAGGTATTTTGCTCCTGTCCAGACTGACGAGTTAATGACTGGTCAGAGCGAGACGGCAGGAGTTTTCAAACAACTTCAATCAGAAATATATTTATAGACGGTGAGGTCAAACWCAAACTTTCACACCACATCATGATTACAAAAGCAGAAATATTAACATAATCCTCCTGAAATGATCTGCTGCTGCTATTTGTAAAAAAATTTTTTTAAATTTTATAGAGATGAATGTAATATTGATGAAGTAAAGGTTTGTAACAGAAAGTCAATGGTTGTTTTAGAGGCTGTCCACATGAACATGTTTTGTAATCAAGCACAAGATTATTTTTATTTATTTATTTAGTAACTCAGTCTTGCGTCAACACAGAAACTTTCTGGCACAGCTCCAAAAGTGTTTAGAGCTACTTTTAGCGTTTCCATTTACATTTTTGGGTTAGTGCATTGTTTACATGGATATTTTTAGAAGTTACRTAATTAAAGGATAATTTTGAACAGTCTTTTTCCATGTGGGCGTAGTTATTTTAAGGCAGTAACGTTTCTTTGACTAATTACTTGTTGCTCAATTTCACAAGATATTTTAAAACACACACACACACACACACACACACACACACACACACAC